CCAGGGCCCCATATCGAGAGGCGAGGAGACAGATCTCCTGCAGGGGTGCAATGTCACCATCCATGGAAAAGGCCCCATCAGTGGCCACCAGGCGTAGTCGATGCTTCTGCAGGGAAGACGGGGACAGGTGGCTGCTGGTATCGCAAGCTGGACCAACGCACCCACCCTCTGTGCTGCTTGGGGCTCTAAGGGCTCACCTTGCTCAGTGTCCAGCACAGAGGTGACCGCATAAGTACTACTGCACGGGGGCTGGAACATCTCCTCCCTCCTCCACGCCTCTCTGAGCCTTACCCATCTCATCTGGGCAGCCTGGAGCCACACTTAGCCCTGGGCAGTGACAATGCTCTCTGTCTGCCCTTCGGAGGGCAGGGTGGGGCGGGGCCAGTTCTTTCCCTAAGCTCATCCCACCATTATGCCTACTAGAGGTCTGCCACACATAAGGTCCCTGCTAAATAAAACTCAAGGCCGCATGGTGCAGTGTAATAAAGTGCTGGATCTGAGGGATCTGAGTTCAAATCTTGGCTGTTTCAAACTTTCAGGCTGTTTGTCTGTGAGTGCAGAGTTGGCCTCTTCAAGCATCCCTTCCTTCACCAGGGGGAGGCTGAGGATGAGTCCCATCTTTGCCCCCTGGATCCCCTGGGCCTCACCCCACCTGGGCCTCCTGCAGCTTGGCCTCCAGATCAGCCATGTCCAGGTGGCGGTAGCGGTACTTGTGGGCCTTGCACAGGCGGATGCCATCAATGATGGAGGCATGGTTCAGCTCGTCTGACAGGACTGCATCTTCTGGTGTCAGCAAGGCCTGGAGGAAGGCAGCTGGAGTAGAACCATCCCCCAACCACCTTGGGGTTCTCCCTCCCCTATGACTCCCCTTGAGCCCAAATTTCACTGCCAGCCAGGGTATTCCTCTGGGCAGAGAGGCAAGGAGCCCCCTGCCTCCGAGTCTCCAGGGCCCCAGGACTGGGCTGAACCAGGGCCCTGCTCTAGTGAGAGCAGGTGAGAACATGTTTAGTGAGTACCTGGCCCCTGCTTCTCCCAGCCTTCCAGCTGATGTAGGTTAACCCTCAAGAACCCGGGAAGCTGGCCTCCTTGCAAGTCTCAAGATTCCTCCTAGAGCATCTACTTGGCCCATCCTGACCTCCATAAGAAGTAAGCACTGGAGCCTCTAGCCATGACGCTGGCATCCTGCCAGGTTCTGCCCACTCCCAAACTTTCCACAGCCTAGCAGGTTTCATCAACTCCCACCCATGGCCTCCACACACCTCAAAGAGGCCAGCGTTGGCATCAAAACAGCTGGGATAGAGGATGGCATCCTCCCGCTGGTGGAAGCGGGCTATCTTTGCTTCTAGATCCTTGTGGATGCTCTGAAGAAAGCAAGTGAAACAGGCGTTAATGCCTATGGGACCACATGGGACAAGTCCTGGGGACAGAGGCTTAGAAGGCCACCAGCAGACCCTGCCTAGAAGGCCTGCAGCCCTTGGCTTCTCCTTTCTTTACCACAAGGGTTCCTCATTGCTGACAGGAATCTGGCAGATGGTTCTCTCTGAGGAATTAGGGGCTTGCTAGGTGTCCCTTCCTGGTTGGCTCTTTTTTTGGTAGTAGGAGTCGGATGGTGGAATTATGGGTGTTGATGGCAAAGGAATGTGTCTTCTTGATATCAAACTGAGTGCCTTTTTTGGTTGCTTCATGGCAAAGAACAAGATGACACAAGAAACTCTAAGTTCCTTTGGGCCTTGAATTCTTAGATTTGAAAGCTGTCCAGTCTGGGTAAGAGTTTTGTTGGAAAGTGTCCTGGCTGGGAGTCAGGAGTTCCATCTCTGACATTCACTTTACCCTCACCTATCTAAGAGAACAGGTAATAGTAATCACAAGTAGTCAGGAGCATGGACTCTTGAGCCAGACTACCTAGGTTCAAATCCCACCACAACAACCTGTGTTCCCTTGAACAAGTCACTTCACTTCTCTGGGCTTCAGGGTCCTCATCTCTTTGACGGGAACTAAAATAGCACCTATCACTTAAGATTGTTATGCGCATTAATGAGTTAATATTTGTAATGTTCTTAAAAACAGTACCTGACACCCAGTAAGCACAATGAATTTCATGTTTCATGTTTATTTTACAATAAACAAAATAATAACCATTTATTGAGCACTGCTATGTGTCAGGCACCGTTCTAAGCATTTTTACATGTATTAACTCTTTAATTTGTACAGATCCTATCAAGTACTATTATCCCCATTTTACCAATGAAGGGATTGTGGCACAGAGAGGTTAAGACACTTGCCCACAGTAACAGAGCCAATAAAAGGTGGTGCTGGGAACTGAGCACAGGCAGAATAACTCCAGGAACCTCGCTCTCAATCCGTCTTCTATTTTTCCTCTCCCGTAGGGGTACAGGTGAGGAAACGAATGCTCAGAGGGGTCAAATTTCTTGTCCAAGGATTCATAGCAAAACAGAAGCCTGGATGCAGTCTTTCTAACGGACAGCTCTGGGGCCAAGAGTGGGCCCAGGGCCCTGGGATGGGATAAGCTGAGCTGTCTAAACCAGCCCTGCTGACTGTGGGAAGCAGACAGCTGGGGTCGGTGCCCAATGCTGGGGACAAGGTCCCCTTCCACTCTAGCAACACTTGCTGTATACCTGGGTTCCACAGATGAAGCGGACAGAGCTAAGGCCGGCTCCAAACTCCTCCAGGGCTTGAAGACCTGCCTGGATCACCTCGGGATGGCTGCACAGGCCCAGATAATTGTTGGCACAGAAGTTAAGGATTCCTGAGGCGAAGGACAGGGAACAGACACAGCAGCTCAAGGCCAGAGGGAAGAGCCTGGAGAGGTGTCAGTGATAGGCCCTGGAGATGCAGAGAGTCAATATGAACCCGGATTTACCCTTAAGGAGGCAACAACCGCATAGTATGATCTGTTCTGGGGCACAGGCCAGGATGGGGAGCTGGGAGCCCCTAGGAGGCACCAAATCCACCAGCTACAGGAGAGGAAGGGTCAGGAAAGGCGTCTCAGAGCAGTGCCTTGAAGGATGAGAAATGTAAACTCTGGCTCTGAATCACATTCCCCGCAAGGAGGAACCCAGCCCTGCCTAACAGGCTTCTCTTGTCCCTGCGGACCACCAGAAACCTGTCATCTGGGCCTTGGTTTCCTCGTGGATAAAAGAAGCGAGTTGGGTCAGATGCCTGCCGCAGTCCTCAAACTCTGCAGTTGACTTTGCTGCCTGGCATAGAATCGAAAGGCCAAAGGGGGTGCCTCTGAGACCTGGACCCTGAATGATAAAGCCCGAAGTGAACACAGCTGACCAGAAGAGGAAACAGACCTGAGGAGAGCAAGGTTCACGCAGACCAGGAGAGGCAAAAGCAGGATGAGCACCTGAGTCTCCTAATTTCCCATTTTTTGAGCTGCTCCAAGCTTCCCCTGGGGGGAAGGTAGGGATTTCCTGGGGCTTCCGTTTGCACCTTGAGTGCAAAGCACCAAGGATTCCATGCCTATTTCTTGGGCAGAAGGCAGGTTTGGGGGCCTGTTTATAACCAACACCCAGCTGGGGCCTGGCACAGACAAGAGGGGCAGTGACCAATGGTTAGACAGAAAGGAGGAAGGCCCAGTAGGCCAATTCATAGTGTGACTCCTGCAGAGACCACGAGCCCCTTGCTCTCACTGTGACTCTGACCAGGAAGTTGGCCTCTCTGGCCCATTAGGTGACCTTCCAGCTCCAACATACCAGAGGACCTGGACCCAAGCCCATCTCTGCCTGCAGCTAACAGGGGGCTTCGGGGCAGACCGCTTCACATCTCTGAGCTTCAGCTTCCTCATTTGTAAAACGGGATTAGTCATTCTTATGTTTGGAGGTTTGCAAGAGTCCACGTGCAGCAATTAGTAGAAGCCTGCACAAAGTAGCAGTTCCAGAAATGCGGGGGTTTGTTGCTACACCTTCCCACTACCCTCCTTTGAAAGAGCACGGTGGGACCCAGTGGGACCCAGCTGTGTGCATCTCTTTTTTTCTCATGTTCTCCCAGGGCTGGGTTTCGGTCCAGCCCAGCATCTGAGTCAAACAGGTGCTCAAGGGCGAATCACCTCCCTCCGTGGAAACGGGTTTAACCAGGTTAGAGATAACACTGGAAAGCCGTAAAGTCGGTCTGATAGCTGGGAAAGGGGCCAGTGGCTACGTGTGCTGGAGCTCCCCGCCGCCCACTGCCTTCAGGACCTCCATGCAGCGCAAGCCTCCGTACCACCCTCTTAACACCCGGCCACGTCCGGCGTCTCCTGCGAGGGCGAGTTACCTCCGGAGACGCCTTCCACGTGGATAAGCGGGCCCTGGCGCGACATGATGACCCGCTCGCTCTTCCAGGTGCCAGCCCCGCGGATTCCTTCCAGCTCCTCCTCCAGAATGCCACGCAACTGGGCCAGCGCTGAGTGCGCGCGGCGGCCGCGGGGGGCCCAGGAAAGCGCCGCGCGGAGAGCACAGCCAGTCCACATCGCGCTTACCTCGCCTACCCCGCGCGAGCGCGCCTGCCGGGAGCCTTGCGCAACGCAGCGGCGTCATGAGCCCGGGGGCCCGGCCCCCGCAACCAATCAAAGTGAGAGTGGCCCCTTTGGAAGGGTGGAGAGGCGGGCCAAAAGGCGGGCTCGGGGCCGGGCGGGATGCGCAGAGGACGAAAGTGGATTGATTTGTAAGTTGAGACTGGAGCGGTCCGCGAGGGGGGAGGGGAGGCGACGCGGAGGAGCTAGGCGCGGCAGGGCCCAGCGCACCAGACCCCCCCCAGCATTCCCACCCCCTGCTTACACGCCCACCTCTCAAGGAACGGGGGTGCTCTGCACCCCAAAGGCAGGAGCAGCCAGGATCACGTCGTTCCCTCCAACCCTACGGTTTCCCTGTTTCTGTGGAGCTCTTGGAACCCTCCCCCCATTATCAGGTGCAAACGCCCCAGATTTCCCCTACTTCTGACCCGCCGAATTGTTCCACCTTCTCCAGTCTTAGAAGTGAGGAAAAATAGCAATCAGGTTTTGTCCTTTTTCAATTTTTATTTTAAAGTTTTGAAATTACAAAGACAGCAAATTCTTCCCGGCACAAATAACACTTGTTTAAAAAAAAAGGGGGGGGTAGGGAAACAACACGCAATCGCGCGTTTTTCTATTTTATGAGAAAGACGACTGTACAGATTTTTTTCTCCCAGCTCCCGGGTGTGAAACGAAGTGCTAGCTCTAGATAGGTATATACACATTTACACGCACACAGACCTAGCTCTGTAAAACTACTTAGCAATTCAAAATCGACTGCAGTATGTCTTACTGTCCACTCCCCGCCCACTCCCCCTCCCCCATCTACCACTACTTAGAAAAGACTCAGAAGTAAAGAGGTCGGGAGGTTTTTAAGTGGCGGTGGCAGGGCTGGAGCCCCACCAGACCACCAAGCAAAGCCACCTCTTGTACACGAGGAACCAAAAACCAGGGGGAAAAGAAAAAGTCTTCCTAGAATACAATCCAATTGTGTGGAAAAACCCAAATTTCAACAGGGCACACTGAGGCACTTGGCTGACTGACTCCCCACCCTTCCTCCAAAGTTTCCACTCCTATTTAACCGACTTTCAGAAGCCACAAAGACACCCCACCCCACCCCCCATGGCTCGTTTCCAGCTGAGAGAAGCCACAGCTTCTCAGACCAGCTGTCACTTCGACATCCCCCCACCCCAACCCCTTCCCTAGGACAATAGGGAGGCCACAGGGCAGACTAACAGAAGTGAGAAGCAAACTGGATTTGGACCCCCTCCCCACCCCACCCCCAATGTTCACGTGGGAGATGGAAGTCAGGCCAGGACGGGTTTCCACCTCACTCCTTTGCATCCAGCTGCTGCCACCCCTTCTCCCGGCCAAGGCTCCGAAACTCACAAGGGCTGCTCAACTTAAAACCAGCTTGTCTTAAATATACTCCTACAAACCATGTAATTCCTGGGCTCGCTCTCATCTAGCCAGAAAAAGCGGCTGCCTTCCCGATTTCCACTTTTATCTTCATAGCGAACAAACCTCCCAACAAAACACAAACCCACCCCAAACCTTTAAGTAGATTAATAACAAATTAACGAAACAAAATATAAGTACATTCTCATCATTACAGAGATGAGACTGTTGTTGCTGTCCTTGCACAACTGGTTAAGGAAAAATGAACTATTCCCTAATTTCTGAGGAATCCAAACTCTGTCTCTTACAAAGTCAGAATAGAAAGGGGCATGGGGCTGCAGGTGAGTAAGAGAAGGAAAAAGTATTTACAGAAAATAGGAGACAGACAGGAGTGTCCACAAGAAAGGCTTCACGGTCACTTCTTCTTGCTGGCTCTCTTGGCACTGGACTTGGCTTTGGGCTTCACTGGTTTGGCCTTCTTAGGCTTGGATGCCTTGACTGGCTTGGCCTTGACAGTCTTGGGTTTTTTGGTTTTCTTGGGCGTGGCAGCTGGCTTCTTCTTGGCCTTCTTGACTGGGGTGGCTTTGGGCTTTTTGCTAGGAGCTTTGGAGGCAGCCTTCTTGGGCTTGGCTGCCTTCTTTGGCGTGGCCACCTTCTTGACTTCCTTCTTCGTCTTCTTGAAGGCCACTGACCTCTTGGGTTCGTCGCCCTTGGCCAGCCGGAAGGACCCCGAGGCACCCACTCCTTTGGTCTGCTTGAGGACCCCGGTGGTAACCAGACGCTTGATGGACAACTTGATCTGGGAGTCGGCATTCTCACCCACCTTGTAGTGGCTCTTGATGTACTTCTGGATGGACTGGCGCGAGGAACCGGCGCGGTTCTTCTCCGCCTGGATGGCAGCCACGATCATGTCTGAGTACTTGGGGTGGTCTGTGGACTTCTTGGAGGCCTTGGCCCGCTTGGGCTTGGCCGCAGGGGCGGACGTGGAGTTCTCGGTCATGGTGGCCTGCCTCGTTCTGCTGTTGAAGAAGCGCCTTCAAAAGGCCAGGCCCCGTCGGAGGCTGAGGAAATCCTGACTTGGGATCGGCTCTCGCGCCCCTGACTCCCAGGCCAATGCGGAGCACGGCTCTCGGAGACCTGGCTCGGGTCGTGGGAGGACTCGCTGTGTCGGTTCTACGTGGCCCAGACCCGCCGGCTGGTCGGTCGGTCTCGGCGCCCGGCTCCGGCTCCGGCTCTGGCTCTGCCGCCACCACCACCGTACCCGCTGCCTCTCTTTTCCCAGCTCTGCGTCTGGCGCTCGGGCGGCGCATCCGGGTATTTAGCGGCGGCGGGCGGACCGCGGTGAGGACAGGGCTGCTGGCTGCCTGCTCCCGGCCCGGAATGGCGCCGCGCCGCCGCCATCTGTGTTTCTTCCGCCGAGCAAATCCGACCTTTCCCCCCGGCCCGGGCCTTCCCGCTCCCCGCTGCCGCTCGGGGTCGCTACCCGGCTCCCTGGGCTCCCCCGCCAGGCGGCCAGCCGGCCCGGCCGCCGCCCCCCGAGACCGCCAGGCGCCTCAAACGGCGCCAAGGACCGCCGATGCGCCGGCACATTTCCCCTTTGCGGGGGTCTGGCTCTGCGGGGCCGGGGAGCCCCGATGCGGGAAACCCCCCGTAGTAAAGCCCCCCCCTGGGGCTACCGGGGACCCCGCTCCTGGGCCGCTGCGGGGTCCCCCAGACCGGCGGAGTGGCCGGAAAGCGGCTCCAACTAACACACGCAGCCTCGAGCCGGGCGACTCCCAGCCGGGCCGAGCCGGGACAGGGGGGAGGGGTCGCTCCCCCGGGGTCCGGTCACCTCTCGGGGGTCATCCCGCCACCGGGCCCCCTGCACCTCCACCCCCTCTCTGTCCATTGGGCCCCAAAGCAAACTTTCCCTGGAAGAGTTGGAAGGGCACTTTCAAACTTTGTCCCTTCCCCCTCCTCTATCTGCTCTCCCCCAGTGCGCCCCCTGACCTCTGCAGTCGAGGTTCTCTGCTGAGGCCGAACCCCCAATGCTGCCTAGGTGCTCTGAAGTAATGAGGATGGGTCTCCTGAGTCACCTCTCCTGAAAGACCCCCACATCCCCCAAATAGCTTAACCAGGAATTCATTTATATAGCTCCTTCATCCTAGGAGTTTGGGGGTTTCAGAGACAGAGCCCGCTGCCTCCAGCCCTGAGGCCCAGCCTGGGGGTCCAGTCCCCCTCCAAAGACCCCTCGAAGGCGGGGTCTTGGGGAGGGGGGCGGACCACAATGGAGGAGCTGCCCCACGGGCTCTAACCAGAGACTGCCCTGGGGGCCCCTGGGATAAGGAGAGGATCTGAGTGCACTGGGAACTTGGGAAAACGGGGCTCTGGGGAAGAGGTCGAGGAGGGGGTCGCGTTCCTTGGGTCCTGACTAATCCTCCGAAAGTGTGCAGTCATTCAGGGAACCGGGGCCGGGACCACCGCCATTTTGCTGGAAGAAGGGAGGATGCGATGTCTTTGTTAAAATGTATACATCTTTTCCCGTGCTTGGCAGGTATAAATGAGGCAAACAAGGGATGGCATCGTCAATAGGGAGTCTTGGGGGGGCTCTTAGGGGCTTTAGGGGTCCACAGGCCAGAGGAAGGGACCCCAGAGCTCCTGGGACACCTTGTTTGCAACAGACATCCTGCTCACTGTGCAGTGTCCCGCTTTGGCGGGGGCCCTGGGTTGAGATTCTGGGATGTTCCTCCCTGAGCCCCCTCCCACAACAAAACAGCTTTTATTCCCTAAGCAGAGAGGCCCATCACTGTTCACTCAAAACAAAACCCTAGGAGTCGGGGTTTATAGCTGGTCAAAACCATGAAGGAGTCCTAGAGTCCGGGGAGCTGTTTGCAGACACTGGCTGTTGGGAAGGGAGTGGGGAAGGGTTAAAGGGTTTAGATGGGGACGGGGTGGCAGCAGGGGGCGGGGGGTTGGGTTCATACTGGACTTGGGCATCTCCGAGGCCAGGGAAATTAATGGTCCCCCCCCCACACACACACACACACACTACGGGATGGATTAATCCAAATGACTGGGGGAGGGAGGGGGACTCAGATGCCTTCTCCCCAGGGCTTATCTTGGTGGCACAGGTTGGGAAGGGAAGCGATGAAGGGCCAGGTTAGTTCAAAAGGTCAAGGTTCTTATTTGGATGATGTCAATTACCCCCAAAGTTGCCTGATTTGAAAACAATATTCTGGTAAGTTTGTTTTGGTTATTTTCAAAGACAATTCTCCTGGTTCCCACTAAGATCCAAATAGACACCTCCAGGTCCCAGATGTTCCACCCTGCGCTCTCAGAGACATGTCACCCCACCCCCACCCCAGGTCCGTGCACATCTCGGAATAAGGGCTGGATGATTCCAAAGGCACGATGACGAAATAATTTTATTTACACGGCGCATTACAGTTTGCAAAGTGCTCTTCACCCGTTTCTTGATCCTTTGAGCCTCCAGTCTGGGGAGGCAGGCAACGTGGTCACTCCCCCCATCACCCATTTTACCGTGGAGGCTGCCGCACTCCGAAGGGTGGATAGGGGGGCGCCTCCACGCCTTCACTTGATTTTGTAGCTCTCACATCCCTATCCTCCCCCATTCCTGCGACCTGTAAATTCTCTCCCGGAACTGAAGCCAGAAATGGAGTGAGAGATCGCTTCAGGGTCGCGGGGGCTTCCCGCCGGTGGATAGCCCACCTTCCTCCTGGCGGCCGGATTCACCGCCCCTACCCCTATTCAGGAGAACTGAGGGGAAGGGAGGGAAAGGTCCGGGAGGGGTTCTCCTGGAGTTGGAGGCAGAGTCCGAGACCGAGGCGGGGGCAAGGTGAGGAAAAGGCTGCCTGCAGATTGGCTTGGCCTCACCTCGCCTTGCTGATACTGCAGGACCTGGAGATTTCTGACTCTGGCAGGGTCTTGTCCGGGCACCGGGCAGGCAGCTCTCGGGTCCCCCACCTAGCACAGAGCCTTTATCTGGCCGGCAGACGGCGGAACTCCCTCCGCCCCCTTTAACGCTAGCCCTTTAAAATCCCGGAGCCGCAGAGCTGCGGGCAACTCCTCCTGGGAAATGTAGTCCCCTATCCGGCACCGAGCCCCGCATTTCACCCCCGTCCGGGACCCTAGCGAGCCTCCAAACCTCCGGCGGCCCCGGGCGCGGGGAGGGACCCCGACCTCCTTGCTGTTTTTTTACCTGTCAAAAGTGGGTTCCACCTATCTGTGGGGTTAGTGTGAGGGTGAAATGAAATCCTGTATGAAAAAGTATAAATCGCTTTAGAATTCCAAGGGTCATGTTTTTACTATGTGGGTGTGTGTACGTGCCAGCATTGTTGAGCCCTTGATACATATCTTCATTGTTCAGAGAGGAGGTATAAAATGGCTAAACGACTTGTCCAAGATGGGTCAGCCTGAAGGAGTGACTGCTGACAGACTTCGAAGACTTTCCCACTGCACCACCTGTGGTCTCCTGAGACCTTGTAAGACACTCACTCATTCTGGGCTTTGGAACCCTAAGGAATTCACTTCATATGTGCCAGGCACTGGGATAGGACCTCTGAACATTAACCAACCTAAAATAATGCTTATGCCAAAGAAATGTGACAAATTCTGTTCCCCTTGTGTCTCCTAGGCTACAACACTGTACAGCATGTTACTGTACTGAATACTGTAAGCAATTGTAATACAATGGTAAATATTTGTGTAATGCATTGAGCTACATTACTAGCGTGCTAAAAAGGCACTAGGCAATAGGAATTTTTCAGCTCCATTATAATCCCATGGGATCGCTGTCATATGCGGTCCTGTCGTTGACCAAGACGTTATGCAGCAAATGGCTATATTCAAGCCTCTTTAAAGAGTAGAGAAAATTTTGTCTCACAGAGCCTTTTTACCTTGAGGAGAGGTAGGAAAAGAATAAATTATCCAGTGTATAGTCTCCTGCTGCTGCTGTAACTTTAGGTGAGCATTCCTTCTGGAGGCTCTAGGGGGAGGATCTGTTTTTTCCCTTTTCCAACTTCCAGAGGCAGCCTGCCTGCATTCCTTGGCTTGTGGGCACTTTCCAGCGTAAAAGCCAGCAACTATCTATTAAGTCTTTATCATGATGCCATCTTTCTGGCTCTAACTCTTCCACCTCCCTCTTCCCCTATTTAAACATCTTTGAGATGCCACTGGGCCCACCTGGATAAACCAGGATAATCTCCCATCTCGAAGCCAGCTGATTAGCAACCCTAATTACCCCCTTGCCATGTGGCATAACAATTCACAGGTTCTAGGGATCAGGGCATGAACATGACTGGGGAGCCATTTTTCTGCCTCCCACATGTGGCTACCCACATGGGTAACTGGGCAGGGGCTGGAGGATGCGAGCAACGCCCCTCCACATCCACTGGGGCACCAAGTGAAGCCCAGCTCCCATCCAGGGCTGTTCGTTATTCTGAGAAATCCCTCAATGGGCAGAGACCTGGAAGCAGGATGGGTGCCTCCCAGTCACCTTGCAGCAGTGTGACAGGTAGGGAAGGAGGGGACATTGTAAAAACCCTTCGGTTGGACTCTATTAGAATCCCCGTGTCCCTAAATGCCCATCACTTTTCAATTTAGAGAGTCTAAGTGACACCTAGCCTGGTGGGGGTGAAGGGCAGCTTCTATTTCCGGCAGGTCCCCAGACAAAGAGTAACCACAGAACCTTGTTGAGAGGAGGGGACCCAGCCCTCCAGGGCATAGTGGCCACCCTCCCTGAGTGAACGGCCCCGCCTTCTCCCCTCCCCCCTCCCCCACCCCTCCATCTCCAGGTCTTGCTCCCTTTCCCTCTGGAGCACCCCCCCCAACACCCCCCCACACCCCCGTTCTCCCATCTGCCTCACCCACTTCACAGAATGTGAGCCTCGACTCAAGCCATTCAAGTCAAAGCTCTTCAGAAGTGGAGAAGGTCCAGGTGGGCACCAGAACAGACCAGGCACTTGGCCTCCAGGGGCTCAGAGTGCAGTGGGGAGGACTGAGTTGATAGCATCGCAAGCTCCAAGAAGGAAAATAATAGGGGACTGAGAGAGGGTGACAGACTTAGATCAGGTGCCAGGGAAGGCTGTGTGGCTGGATGGGGACAGTGAAGGAGAGTGTGGTGTGAGATGCCATCAGAGAGGTGAACCAGCCTCAGGCACGTGGGGATGTTAGCCATGGCAAGGGGTGTGGATTTTCTTCTAAGTGCATTAAGGAACCACTGCAGAATTTTAAGCTCAGAATGTTAAGTTTCTTTTAAAAATTAATGCAGTTATTTTAAAATAAAAATTGT